TTGATCTTTCATTATGATTTTATCGCTAATTGTCAATAATAATAATAATAATAATAACATTAACAATAACAATACTACTACTACTACTACTACTAATAATAATAATAATAGATTCAGAGACTTTCTGGACGGACACCGCTTGAAGTCACCAGCTTCTGCCTGCCGTGATTTCAAACGACGTTGCCTCCCTTAACTTATCTTCACTGGTTACTTTTAAAATTCGAAGTTCACAAGAGTGATTATTTCAGCGAATGGAACTTAATTATTGTGCAGCTGGAGACTATAAATTAATACCGAGTTCTAAGGTTGAGGGCACACCAAGGAAGCTGGCAACCGCAACGAAGCCGCGATTTTAGATATTATTTCAGCCTGAGTTGAATACATGTTAGCGAATGGAGCACTGCTAGTTGAGGAGACGGCAACACAACTCGCTAAGAGACTGAGAAACTCAATTTCCAGGCAACGGAGCATGCCAGTCTTATCACAATTGCGTTGCCGTGTGGTTTCCTAGTGTCAGCTGGTCTGTAACGCTCTTCAGTGATTCATTTGTTTGTTAAGGTGGCACGAAAGGTTGACGAAGCTGCTAATTTTGTTTTTATGCAGCCAATTGAACAAGAGCCTAGTACATATGGCATGCGCCACTCACACTATGCTAGGCTGGACAAAATAGATTTGGCTTGGGAAAGAATTTTTCATGAAACGAAGGAGTCTGGATTCTGGTTAAGTTCTTTCGAAACAATATAAGCACCTCAGTTTATATTTTAATTTAAGAACGGATGGACCCAATGTTTTCTTTTCCTAATATTTAAGCATCCTGTTGCATTAATATATCATTTATTTCACATATATTTCCGTCTTACTATACAACTTAGTCACCATTCTTCCATATTAAGCCTACATGGTTCAGCTATACACGGCCATCATCAGGTGTCTTCTATCTTGCAAAAATTGTGGCACTCTATGTCAAAATTTCGTATCGCGTGTCAACTCGTTATATCATGATTAAAATAAATTGACCTTAAATAAAACAAAGTAATTAACATCCCAATATTTTCTTTATGGTCCCATCCCAACTGCCACCATATTATGACAGGATCAGTATTATTACACAGGTCTGCAACCAAAAACTGCATAGGATATTTTTACTGTTTCTTATAGATTTTTACTCACTAAAACCGGAAATAATAGTAAAAAAATCCATCACGTCAATTCTTTTTTTTTGCAAAACTCATATTTTTAGTTTAATTTTGCGTGAAATTTCTCTTCAACATGAAATCTTGTATCCTATTGTTGATTCTAAAAACCATATCCAATAATTATTTCTTACTTTAAACTAATATTTATAAGAGTAAATCTAAAAACTAACACAAATAGAAAATGCGTGGGATGAGGGGGCAGTAGAAGGGGTTGGTAGGGTGGGTTTGGCGGTGTGAGGAGCTCAGGCGATCATCTCCCAACACGTTTACTTTGTTTGTAGCGAAAGGTGAGGAAACTTACTAGCTCGGTTGAGCATGTTTGGACATGTTCTTTGGGGCAATAGGAATGAGTATAAACAAGCCTGCTGTCAGATTTGATCATGTGTCAACATGCTAAATAAGTTAGGACCTTGGTTGATGTATAAGCCACTCAGTTTACATCCTGCATTCAAACGTGGCTGTGCCTGTGTTTTAGCTCTGTATTATGGCTCAAAGAGGTTGTATTANGCGGGACTGATGGTACGCACCATTTATCGGTAGGGTAAAGAGACTGGTAGAATATCATAGAGGGAAGCACAATAGATCAAACTGGTCGCGGTGCAGGGGGAAACCCACCCTCTCTAAATAACTAACTAATAACTAACTAAGGGTAAGAAAAACTCATTTCGTTTTGGCATTCCTGTGATGTGGCGTGAACAGCAAAACCACACGACTGATTGTTATTTCTGTTTGGTAGATGTGAAAGGCTTTAATACAAAAAATAAAAAGAAAATATCTTACCCAAGCCTTAATTCAGCTACTCGTCCAGTGCCTCATAGCTCTGAAATACCAGTTGCACTCCCACCTTCCAGTTTGGAAGATATACAGAGTGATTCGGAGGACAGAACTATATTACCACCCCAGGATGAATCCAGCTCAGATTTTTCTGTTGATGAGGGACCCCAACCTTTTTCTCAGAGTGAGCTCAATGACTTAGTTAGAGATATAGGCCTTTCCAAAAATGCAGCTGAATTGCTAGGGTCAAGACTAAAAAATAAAAACTTGCTGTCACCTGGAACATCATTCTCGTGGTACAGGCACCGAGAGAAGGAATTCACTCAGTTTTTCTCCAAAGAAGGAAATGGGAGAAAAAGAAAAAGAAGCATGGGACTCCTTCAAAGACGTAGTGCACAAGTTTTTGGGGAACACTAAAGACCCTCTCTACAAAACCAATGTACAACGCATGTTGGCTGCATATAAAGCTCAAGGTTGCAAGATGAGCTTAAAAGTTCATTTCTTACACTCCCATGGCGACTATTTTCCCGAAAACTTGGGAGCCTATAGTGAAGAGCAGGGTGAACGATTTCACCAGGATGTCCGTGATATCGAAAGACGGTACCAAGGAAGATGGAATGCGAATATGCTAGCTGACTACTGCTGGATGATCAAGCGGGAAACGGAAAATGGAAAGCGAAAGCGTGTTCGGAGAAACATCAAAGAGAAGAAGAAAAGGTTTCACAGGCAAAAAGACTGAACACAGAATGTTAAATATATCGTGAAGGAATTGTTTGTTTAATTATGAGAAATAATATGTTTAGTTCAATGTAATAAAATTAGTGATTTTTTCATCACTGTTATGATTTTTTATTGTAAACCCCTATTATTTTCCAAAAAACTGTACGTGATAGGGGGAAATTGAGATCATTTTTGGATTCAGCATCCTAGAAAACATAAAGTTTACCAAAAATATTCCATGCAGCTGAAAAAAAATTATTTTTGCAGACCTGTGTTATCTTCCATCGCAGAAGGTTGTAAGGGCAAGTGCACGAAATTAAAAAGTACAATCATGTATTACGCCGGACGAACATACCCACTTAAGATGATGTAAGCAACTAATCAAACATGAGTTTCCTCAGTGTGCGCCTGCTAATCTGGAAACCAGTTGGCTGCTTGAAATCGGCAACATTCTGGGAAATTGCAGTTGACCGTTTCCTTGGTGTTCCCTCGGCCTAACAGTCCAAATCACGTGGTAAGCTCGTGTGGGCGATTTTTCAATACAACTGCTCTCTTCTGCTGGGTATATTACTGTCTAAATGCTTAGAATTAATGTTGAGAAATACATGCTAGATTAATACAAAAATGAATATAAGTTACCATATAAGTGTAAGAATGAGACTATGTGTCCTTATTCCTTCTTACAATATAAACCACAAACTTGGTTAACATACTGACGATCGTTAAAAATATGATCGGTTATAGGCACAACACCGATCTTGGAATAACATTATCCATCCTCGAAAATTTTCAGTACTATTTTTGCATCGTTACATTTCAGCACGTATTATTTCTTCATGAGGGTAAATCTTTATGTAAAACTTTAAACAAACGGTAGGAGCAGCAAGCTTTGCTGGAGATACATATCTACTGCCCCGAAACTGATGCAGCGTTTGTAGCCTNAAAAAAAAAAAAAAAAATTACCGCGAATAACAAGGTCGGGGCGTGAAGCTGACCACTCACCTCCATTTAGTACAGAGGTTAATGATGTGTGGGGCTATACATCCACATTCTCACTCTTCATGGCCTGATGCTTAAATGAACACACGAGCTTTACCGTTATTCACTTACTGACTTGTGACAAAAATATTTATAAGCGCACTGAGCAAGTATAATTTCATTTGTGTATAATATGGCATTTATTTTCTTACGCCACTTTTGGGTATAAGTATTTTATTTCGACGTCACAGCCTACAGCTATATTAAGTGACACACGAAAATGGACAGCTGTACGATTGTTGTTAATATTTAGTATATCACATGTGTGCGTCCTAATTCAATCAATATTCAGATTGAAATAATAATTTTATGTAAGTCATAATTTAACCAAAGAGGTAGACTGAAGTGATAATTATTTAAGAACCAGGCCATGAAGACGTATAGGGCAGTAAAGGTGTAGCTCCACCGTTCTTAATCTCGGCAATAGATGGACGTGAGTGGTCAGTTTCACGCCCCTGCCGCTTTACCCCTGGGGAATCTGCCTCTAGTGTCCACTGTATAGGAGGCTGCTTGAGCCTCAGGGCCGGTCTGGACGCTGTCCCTACCCGGAAGCGAAACCCGAGTCCTTGGTCGTCCATCCGATAGCCCAGTCGCCATACCGACTGAGCTATCCCGGTTCCAGGCTGAAATTATAACTTTGCATAATTTTGGAAGATACATGGATGTAAATTTTCTTGATGAATTGGCATACAGAAATCCTTTGCTTCAATTTATACTACGTACATAACATCAGTGGTAAAGGTAAAGTTGTCCCTGTGCTTAACTAATTAAGCGCTACGCCATGAAAGTGTATGGAGGAGTGGATGTGTAAATCCACATTTTCTTGACCTCGGCATTAGTCAGACGTGATTGGTCAGGTTCACGCCCCGGTTGCTTTACCCCCGGGGAAAGATCTCCCGGTACCCATTGGATAGGAGGTTGGGTCGACCCCAGAGTCGATCTGAATGACGTGGAGAAGAGAAAATTCTTGACCCTACCGGGACTCGAAGTCCGACCCTTCGGTGGTCCAGCTATACCGACCGAAACCGACTGCTCTATCCCAGCTCCTAACATAACATCACTGCACTTTCAATTATTAATACTTGTCCCAATATCACGGATTACCCCCACTGCAATTTAAGCATGTTGGCTGTTTTGCATGCACTGTAAAATACAGCTGCGAGGTAGTACTGAACGTACCGAAAGCACAACTAGTAGTAAAGATAAATTGGAGGAACAGCGAAGTCAAAGAGGTAGGATTAAGACCGATCAAGACAGTAATCTTTGGCAGATATGACGTAGTACTTGTAGATAAACGAACGCTGTTTTCGAGCGCATCAAGGTTTGAAACGTATTACGGCTGCGATATTCATGTGATGTAGCAAGATGACTGTGGAAAGTAATTTAATATGACAGTTTGATCAAGAAATTTGTGAAGGAAAACAGCCGAGGGCGATAATGTTTGACAGCCTTCGTGATAAGTTCCAAACAGTTCAAGAAGGAATTACCGCAAGGCTGGTGTTGTATTTAAAGACTTATCGGCTATAACCTTATTGTGATATGAACTGAATGCAATTTAATACCTGTATAAATGCATTTTACTTAGTACTAAAATTTTTGTTGTCCAGTAGCATTTAGAGGTTTGAGAGATATAATGTTGAGTAACACTATAGGCAATGTGATGTATGTTTTAATTTAATCTCGCAATGATTGTTTATCTTAGTTGATGCAGCCAATCTGTACACTGCTGCATAAACCTCACACAAATATAAGAAATTTCATTCTTTGCTTGGGAACCAGTGGATCCAAGAAGATTAAGAAAACGATTATGTAACATTCCTCTTCACTTTCAGTTTCAGAGGTTTGTCAGTAGGTGAGTCTCCACAAAGGTTACAGGTTAGTAGCAGTGCCGTAAATTACAATGCTGGAGCAGATGTGTTACATAAATATCAGTCTCAATGGAGTGAACTGCATAAGCTGACTGAAGAAAATGCAGTAAAAGCACAGGTGATTACTGGAAAAGAAAGCCAAATTATAATATACTAGTCTATGAAATTCAGTTAACATAAAAGAATGTAAACCTTATATATTAGTTGGTCACAGAGATGTAGGGCATTATGTAAGAAAGGTTGATTCTTAGTTGGAATGGACCATGGGGCCTACCTTGTACATGATAGTGAAATTAAATTATGTTCTTGGAGAACCTGATAACTCTCTCAACGGTCAGATACCTGCCCAGCCCTATTTCTTTCCTTGACTGTTATTCATTTGAATGAGAGGACTGTGAACCTATATAAAACAGCTACAAGGGAGACCAAAATGGCTGCAGAGTTTTGAGGTTAATTATTAGTCATATGGAACTGTTGAATGAGTATTAATTGGGAAAATTGCAGAACTAGGCCTGTGTAAAACTTGTTACACTCTTCTTAGTATCACTTTCTTCAGCACATTACCCCAGTGCACACTTGAAGCCACAGTGTTACTGATGTATCAGTATGTGTAATTTAAGGTTTTTATGGCAGTGACTGTAAAGGTTACTCTTTTCTGAGGTATGATGCCATATAGTCTAGTAGATGTTTACTGATGTTTTGGAGGAATGTGTTGCTTCAGAAATGTTAGTAAATGTGAATGAGACTGCATGGCAACACATCCAAAAAACACTAATCTTCTTGCCTATATGCATTTGATATAAAAGAATTCAGTCTCTAAGATTAACTGAAATTCAGATATGCCCCCTGCCTTTGAAATATTGAATTGAAGAGCTTACTCAGCATTTAAAAAGACTGTATTTAACAGTCGACAGTAGACAAACATAAACATGACCCATTCAAATTTTTACACAGTAAAGGCCCCTGTAATTAATGAAGCACCATACCAGTAGGGAGGAGAGACATAGCCCAATCCAAACTTAACCATACCATTAGATGAAAGTGAGTTGTCAGCTTCATGCTGTGACTGCTTTACTGATATGGAAAGAGCGGCCAGTACCTACTGGACAGGAGGCTGTGTTGGCCCCAAAACTGACTTTTGTGGTGAAAAGGATAAAGTCCTGGCATCTAGGAGATATTGAACCCCATTCATTCAGTTTAAGTGAGTCATCCAAGTAAGCCATTCGAAATTGTCCATTCATACAGTCATTAAAGAAATATTTTGGCCAAATTAACATACAGCTTATACAGTATGTCGGAAATACTGATCAATCCTTGCAATGCTGGGAATATGTTACTAATAAGGACAGAAAAAAAAGAGTGTGGTATGGTTCTGAGTCATCAATTGTGCAATTGGTGAAGCAAATCTATATTGTATGAAATTATACAAAATTAAACAAGGTGACCAAACTTATGCCATATGTTTATTATTATAATAAATAACCTCCCCTAAAAGGTTAAAGTGAGAAAGTAAGGCGAATTAAAATGATAATACATAAGTTTTGTATGTAATTTAGAAGCTCTATGTCTGTACAGTATGCTCCAAATTATCTGTGCTAATGGCAGAGGAAAGTTGCATGAATAGAAAAGAAACCAATGGTTAATCCAAGTTTTAGGTGTGACTGGGACACCACGGCCATTGATAGGAATAGAAATTTGAAATGTGTACATAGGATCCAGTTTCTTCAATTGTATCTCAAAAACCATAAAACTTGGGGAAAAAATGTGCTAAATATAATGTATGTTTTTCATTTTTCTCTGCAACTTCTGTTTGAAACACAGTTTTTATTCTAATGAATATTTAACAAGTTAACACATGAGATACTCACAGAAATACAGGTTAGGTCTTCACGTAAAGTGGCAATTAAAACTGTCCTGTCTAAATGACAGATTCTGGTATCAAATCTCATGAAAATCCACCTAGCAATTCTTGAGTTTTCAGTGCATACAGCCAGATGGCTGGGTAGACTAAGCTAACTTAATATACCTCTGTAGTGTTGCGAATGCTCCAAAAGGTGCATGAACAAGCCACGAACTGGATAATCAGGACTGTACTGTATTTATAAGAGCAATCTTTATTAGATATTTTAACGTAATTCATATCTTTGTGAATCACAGGGTACTCCTACAGTGTTGTAGTATGATGTTTAATCATTTTCCCATCTGATATCCTCAACAGATATTGCAAAAATACTTTTCAGTTACATGCAAACTTACCATACATGGATTGAGGCATTGTTGTGTAATCATTGTGAATGTTGAACTGGTAACAGGAAGTATGCCAGATTGAGGTTCCCATAGTGGTGACTATGCGGAGTCCTATCTTCTGTGATGTAACACCCTGTAGTATGGTAGAAATTTGCCAATGGTTCGGAGGAACATACTGCCTCCTCCTTCTTCAGGGTCAAAGAGTAAGCCAAGCAGGCAACAGAGCACACACTTTGCTTGCTGCTTGCTTGATTTACTCTTTGATCCTGAAGAAGGAGGCAGTATGTTCCTCCGAAACAACGGTAAACTTCTACTATACTTCGTGTCACATCCCAGAAGATGGTATTTGTGGTGACAGTAAGTGGCATCACTTGTTGCATTAACTGATTTCTGTCACATTTCTCGACATGTGAACAGGAGGAGTGGAGGGGGGGGGGAGTGTGCGTGCGCGCTTCTGTTCTAAGTCATAATTGTGCATTCATAATGACTAGATTCTGTATGTGTCTCTGCAAAATTTTGAACAACATAATAACTGGTTATTTTGTACAAGTTGGGTAAAATATTTAAGTATGGATGGATCTTATTGATGTGCAAAACCCACCTGTCTGTGAATTGTATGCCTGTAAGATTCTACTTTGTTTGAAGCCCAACTGAAAAATCAGATGTCTCTATGACGATTCTGGACCAGAATTAATATTGTGGTGTATAGACCCATTGCTACAGTGACTCTGTAAACAGCAACCATTTCTGGACAGTGGCTTGGTAAACACGTTCCTGTTGCTAGGTAGCAGATTCTTACTAATGGAACAATTGGACTACAGCAGTGGAAGAGCTATGTTTTCCATGTGGTCCGTGCCTAGATGCTATAGGCAAGGGATAAGGTCGGTTGATAGAGGACCTGAGTGCATGAAGCTGAAGAATCTCCACTATTAGAAGCTGTTTCCAGGGAATGACTGGTGAAGGAACAGCAGGCTGGAAAAGGCTTAGTGGATGCTGTGGTGATTTGTGAATTGTGGAGATTAGTGGTAGTCCTGTATTTGCTTGTAGTTCCAAGACTGTTTATAATTTGTCAATAAATCCATTCTCCGATCCAAAACCCCAGCAGGCTGGCATCTTGAAACTCAACTTGACTACTGTTCTATACTGCTCTATGCTGCCAAACACTTCTTTATAATTACTTTGCACAGACCATGCAGACAAACAGCCTTTGTTGTTAAGGAGGCGTGTTTACTGATCCATTTCCTAGAAGTGGATGTCCTGTTGTTGCACATATTGGCTTCCTCGGAAACGTGTTTACAGAGTCGTTGCCTAGCAATGGGTATACACATCACACTATTGTAAACTAAAATAAACAGGGTGAATTTGTCTTCTTAGCCTTTCAGGTTATGCTGTTAGGCATACTGCAGTTACTCAAATGGAAGATTTTTTTTTTTAATTACAGTTCTGGTCTCAAAGTATGAAGTTTTCTTGATGACACATGTCTGAGATGTAGCCAGTATCACATTTTGTGCTATGTATTCATTATTGCAGTACTGCCTCTGGGCATTGCTATCTAACTAACAAACTACATGGAGCTGATTTCTTGAGAAATTCACAGCATTTTATGCAACTTGAAGGTTTATTACTGTGTTTGCAAGAGCCTGCCACAGGTACCAGTCCTGATGATTCTGGTTCATACCTCACCCTCCTGTTTCTTTAACATCTATTTTAATATAATCCTTCCATCTACATAAAGATTTTTGTAGCGGTCTCATTCTTCAGCTTTTCCTGTTAAACCCCTATATGTATTCCTCTTCTCTGCCATGCGTGGTACATATCCTGTCCTAATATTTGGCAAGGAGTATGACTTATGAAGTTCCTCATTGTGCAGTCTTCTCCAGCCTTTATTATTTCATCCCTTGTAGGCCCAAATATTCTCCTGAGCACCCTGTTCTCAAACATCCTTAATAAGAGAGACCAAGTTTCATACCCATAACAAAACTACAGTCAAAATTACAGCTTTTCACATTTTAATTTTTATGTTTTGTGATTGTAAATGGCTTACAAGATGCCGGAAGATTCTGAACTGAATGCTAATAAGCACTGCTAGAATTTAATCTGACCTTATGTAGGTCGTACCAAAAGTCAGGAGCAACTTTTTTTGCATGCAACCTGGGAACAGCAGACGAAAGAGAGTATGGTGGTAGGTGGAACCAGCTGTTGTGTTAACCTTGAGTGTCTTGTGACGTCAATTGCTTGCATCACGTGACCAGTATCCCTCCTAACAAAATGGCCAACAACGATATGTCGTTTCGCCAGCGTGCTGTCATCGAATTTCTTGTGAAAGAGGAAATCCCTGCTGCAGAAATTCACCAGAGACTTCACCATGCTTCTGGAAGTGTGTGCATGGATGCAAGTAGTGTTCGAAGCTGGGTGAAACATTTAAAAGATGGGAACACCAGCATCGAAGATGGGCCTCAGAGCGGTCGTCCTCGAAAAGCCTCAACTGAACGCAACAAGGAAAGAGTGGATGAGATCATTCAAGATGACAGGCGTGTGACTGTGGACACAGTAGCCCGAAAACTTGGAACAGCGCACAGTGCAGTGTAGGAGATGATTGAAAGCTTGGGATATAGGAAAGTTTGTGCTCGTTGGGTCACGCGGTTATTGACCGAAGACTACAAAGGTCAGCGAAAAGCCATCACCTCAGAACTGCTGCAGAGATATTGACACGAAAGCTATGATTTTTTGCTCTGTATTGTGACAGGTGACGAAAGCTGGTTTCACCATTTCGAGGCTGAAACGAAATGGCAGAGTATGGAATGGCACCACTTGCATTCTCCATCAAAAAAGAAGGCAAAGACAGTGCCATCAGCTGTGAAGGTGATGGGCACAGTCTTCTGGGATGCAGAGGGCTTTATTCTGGCCGAATTCCTGGAACCTGGGCAAACCATCAATGATGCTTGTTATGTCCAGACGCTGCACAAGCTCCATCGTGCATTGTGCGATAAACATCCGGGACAAAACATTGTCCTGCATGACAGCACTCGCCTCACATTGGAAGCAATTGCAAAGATGGGGTGGGAAGTTCTTCCACACCCCTCCTATAGCCCTGATCTGGCACCCTCTGACTACCATCTTTTTGGATTTGTGAAGGATCAGCTGCGTGGACAACGTTTTGAGACAAGGGAGGCAATTCAAAAGGCAGTGCATCAGTGTCGTTGGATGGCTGGAATGGAATTTTACAGAAGGGGAATTTTCAAACTCCCAGAACGCTGGGAGAAATGTGTACAAAGAAGTGGCGATTATGTGGAAAAATAAAGAAAGGTCTGTAGATTGAGGTGGTGTATCTGGTTTGTCAATAATAAAGCATGTTACTTTACAAAAAATTGTTGCTCATGACTTTCAGTACGACCCTCGTAATTTTCTTATGAATTAAATTTTGATTTGTTACTGTTTCTAAATATTTGAACCTTGCCACATTTTCAAAGGATCTGGTAGCGTCTTAATATTATGATCTTGGTCCTGCAGTCAGGTGATGAGACATCAACATAAACTCAGGTTTCTCTGCGTCTGCTTGCAGACCAACATCCTTACAAGTGGCTCTTAGATTTTCTCTGTTGTTTTTCTTTGTGGTATTTATGTTATCCTCCAGTAGGGCCATGCCATAACTCAAGCAGTTAGTCGCTGGCTTCCCGTGGTGGCGGCCCAGGTTTCATCCCTGGTCTGGTGAAGAGGCATTAATCGTGGAGAAAGTGGCGCTGGGAAGGGTTTTCTCCGAGTACTTTGATTTCCCCTGCCAATCTTCATTCCACCAAATTCTCAATCATCATAATCACCATAATCACCTGGGCCAGGTACAATGGGCCAATCAGTGGCTGCTGTGCCGAGTGGACCCAGTTGGACTCCACCCTCCACTAAGTGAATTATCCCTCAGTAAATGAGTATTGTCAGCATAGATCAGAAGCTGATGTGTCCTGTTCACTTTCAGTCCCCCTAGTTTTCTTGGACATCATAAAGGCATATTCTAAACCAGTGACAATAAAGCATCTCCTTGTTTCAGATCATTTTCTGTAGGAAATAGACACATATTGAACCATGTAGGTTACTGTAGGTTTCATACAATCATATTTTAATAAGCCTAACTAGTTTCATGGGTACCCCAAACTCAGTGAGAATAGTGTACAATATTTTCATATAAATACAATTTCTTAATTAAAACCATCACAACACAACTATATTAAGGTCAGTGCCTAGTTTTGGTCTGCTTTATTAAAACTGTCACAACACAACTATATCGAGCTCAGTGCCTAGTTTGGCTCTGTGTTGTGACAGTTTTAATAAAGAAATTGTATTTTATAACACAACAGGATGCATGAAATGAAAATTCATATAAATAGGTACGGTAACAGACTCTTTACACTGCTGAGGCATTCTTCCTTATTCCAAACAGAATTGATGAGTTCATGGATTTCAGAATGTAATGTTTCACTTGCTTGAATCAGTTCTACCTGAATTTCATTAGTACCCGGTGATTTATACCTTTTCAACTTCCAGTAGCAATTTCAACCTCAAAAGTACTAGGCTCAGGTACTAATGGCTCAGCTGTATGTACTTCCATTTGCCCAATAGCACTAACCATATGTACATCCAGTAGCTGAAAGAAGTAATTCTTTCAGCTATTCAGAATGTCAGAATCAGCAAACAGATCACCTTTCTCATCCTTCACAAAGTTAGTTCTAGGATGCTAATGCATCTATATAACGCCGTTATATGAATTTATAATATTCTTGTATTTACTGCTTGTTGTAATTATACATAACATCCTTTAGATTATCTCCATATCATAATACTGTTAAATATATAGGTTACATTGAAGATGATGCAAGTTATGGGAACAACTTGTATGTTAGAAAGTTAATAGAATTTTCCGTCCAGTGCGGCAATAGAGGTCACATCACTTTTATTATTCTAGCCTTACATGTTTCGGTTTAATTAAAACCATCATCAGAGGTACTTTTCATACGGCAGGAGACACTGTTAATTAAGCTGGTTTGATGTTCACTTTCAGTTATGTTATTCACAGATGTAACATCATAACGCATATAAGCCCACACACCACCAAGAATGACGACTCCCATCCACGGGAAGAATTGACAACCAACAACGACTTATGACAATTTGAATTAAATTTTAAATAGTTTAATAGTGATTAATCCAAACATAAGAAATCTACTGTGGGAAAAGTGATAATTCCTGTGCTGCGTATAGCCTATTGGCATACTCAATTATTCTTCATGTTTATGTTTTTATACGACGAGTGCCGTCATAACTAAAACCTATGATAACAGAAAATTCTATTAACTTTCTAACTTAATAGTGCAGCGGACCAGAATGAGACAATTCAAAATAACATGTATGTTATTCCTGCATTCATAACTCCTTGGAAATATTATAAAAAATTATTAACGCCATCCAGTGTGATTGATAAATGTTTCTTTTTTAATTTTTCATCCTTTACATCACACTGGACAACATTAATAATCTTTTGCACTGTTACTAGTGTGACGGACCAGGCTGAACCAAGTCCTTGGAAATATTTGGCTGATCTTTACTTTTTGCATCCCATTGTGTATCATATATTAAAGGTATATTTGAGAGCCGTCAACACAACAGTTGATTATACCAGTATTAGAATATTTGATACTTGGTTTTATTTACATCCCACTATGTTTTTGATCTGTATAGATAATCGTCGAATGGTCTATGAATACACACCTGTTATCATTGACTTACTCGTATCTATTAAAAATGTGTTGATGGCTCTTAGATATACCTTTCGTCTCTTTACTCGCTGCAATCTGTTTGTTACACACATGGTAACTATGTGGTGATATGGAGATTGTCTTGAGTTCTGCCAGCAGATACAAACAGTGAACCCTTTTTTCCTGTCCGCAAGAATCAAACGTGGCATATTGCTGGGATAGATGACTCATTTGGACATCTGTGTCAAAGTAATAAATACAGATATAACATATGCATGGTTATTACTTATTGAATGGCTTTGTGTGTGTGTGTGTTCATGTGTGTATACATTCAAGATCCAGATGAATGCAGTGCATGTGCACGTGTATCTACAGCGTTACAGAAAAGAGGACTGAGTCACTAAACAACCGTTTTTAGAGAAGAGACAACTTTATGATGTGTATACAGTAATATATTTAAATCAGTATTTCATGATGTTACTGAATGGAAAGCATTATGCTTAAGAAATGTAACCTGGTTTTCATTTGATCCATTGAAAAGCAGAATTGTGTGATGTAATTATCTGATTTTGACCAATTCTTGACATAACTCTCCTTTCCTTAACATTACATGTATAATTTTTTCTTAGGAAGCACTGAATATGTGAAAAATAAAATTAATATTTGTTAGTAAGTGATTGTTCATTGATTGACATGATTGCAGGAAGTGGACAATGCAATAGGCTGTCTTCATCAGAAGTTTGAGAAGCAGTGGAGTGATGTGAGTCACATGGCATCAACTTTAGCAGCTGTTCCTCAGCTCCTTACAAGCGTGCAGCAGTTAATGGAACAGATAGGTCATTTCTTTTAGAATTCAGTTATGACAAATTTGTAGCATTTTATAAGTTATGTTAAAGATAAGCCATGTATGAGAAAAATGTAGATTACAAGAATCACAAATGGTACATTGTACAGACTCTACTGATTGGGAATCTAGTTTTTGACTTTATTGAGTTTTGTCTTGTTAATGTCACAATCTAATTCGCTGGCACTGTCTATGGCAAAGTTCTTTTACTGTTAACAAAGAATAATATGCCAGTCATTTGTGGTCCAGCATTTGATTGTTAGTATTTGAACAGAATACTTCCCTTCATTACTTCATTCCTGCTTATATAAATTTAGTGTTAGGACCATTTCTTATATATTTTATTTGTATGAAATTTCTTAAAATAAAAAATCATTGTTACTACACCATATTTTCCGCAGTAGTTCCATGCACAATACAGTGTGCTTTTCTGTATGATTGGACTTCTTTTTTTCCTGACAGGATAGGTTAAGGCTTGCTGCCATCCTTTCTTTTTCAGGATCCCTAATTCATCATTATTATTATTATTATTATATCTGCAGGAGCTTTACAAGGGTTGTTTGAAGATGTAGAAGGAGCCTTATTTCAATTGGAGGATATGGTAGAGACGCAAGAGTTGCAGGAGAGACAACTTGATCATAGGTTTCAGTTTGCATTGTACAAAGAGAAGAAGCTTAGTGAATTGGAAGCTGTGAGAGGTACAGCATGATTTATTGCAGTGTGAATACTACAATGCATCTTCTCGATAAGTTACATGCTTGTGTCACTCAGTCTTCCATCCAGCTGCAGCCTACTTTCAACTCAGCACTGCCTGTTAATCCTGAGAAGAGTCTAGATTCACTCCATAAGAGCAGTAAAAGTAATTTATCTGGATGAGAGATGTTGAAAATGCTATCCCTGTGCATATATACATGCGTCTTATAATTTAAACAGGTTAAGGTTGATGCAAAGGAGCTATTTGTGAGGAATTTCAAAAATGTTTTCTTGTATGGTCAAAGTTTAAGTATTTTCATCACTTTTGCTGTTGATGGCTTTGAAAGGCCATTCCCTTGTTCAAGATAACTTATTGACTGTTAACAGCAAGTATTTTATCCTGTCCACTTTTCCTTCAGTAAAGTGTTTATTGTTCAAAAGTAACCCAACTGACCTACCTTTATTAACCTTTATCATAGAGGAATAGGGGATTTAAATCTCCATAATATGGCTCTGGCAGTTGCGGTTAATTAGAGTGCAGTACTGGTATTAATAATGAAAAGGATATATATATCTTTAGAACACTGCCTGTTAAAATATTCCAGTAGAGTGTATTAGAAAGAAAATACATTGATATATTTCTGTATTTCAGCATCCTGTTGCAATTGTTTAACTTAACATCCACGTATTTATCGTCCATCAATATTGCAACACTTGTTTATTCACTACTTAATCTTAATTTTAGTTTAACATTTTATACACTTTGACGCAACATGTTTTGGCCCCAAATTGCCATCTTCAGGTGTCTTGATATGTTACAAATACTTTATTAAATTATGTTGAAACTGCTACACTGCGTTAGCCAGTGTTAAAATCACACGCTGTCATTCTCTTTTTCAAGATAAAACAAGGTAATATCCATTAAAATTTCTATTTCACTGCACAAGGGGTGACGTCCATTGTTCATAAATGTATGCCTGTCCCAGGTATTGATATATTCTGTATTATTACTTATTCATTATAAACAGTGTTGTTTCCAAAATCATTTAGCATCTCGGACATTGGCACTAAGCCCACTATGCTACCATGAGCCTTGCTGGCCTTGTGGATTATTTTTTCCAGCTCTCCATGCTCATATCCAGGGCCCTGATTTTGATGACCTAAAAATATTTTAAAAATGACCGAAAAAAAGTCAAGAAAAATGACCTATAAATGACCGAAAATCAAGAAACAATATCTGAAAGTTAAAAAAAAACAATGAACTAAAATGTATCTTTAAACGTTATTAACACTGTGAACTCAGTGTTACTCTTTTAAGTTTGTCCTCATTTTTATGTTGAAAATTAAGCAATATATGATTGAATTTGAAGCCAGATGTTTTAATACGATTTTTTCTACTGCATTGAAACACTTATCAAATGTACATGTACGGTATATATTCCATTATTTAAGTGCCACCTCATTCAGAGTTGCAATAGATGGCAGTCAATATGCAGAGATTCTCAAAGGTGTGTGAATGCCTCTTGTCTGACAGCACATTCTTGTACTAGGAGAAACTCCTTTTCAGATCTGCAGACACAATGGGAGCGTACTTGAAGTGTATCAAATCACTAGCAGTAGGTTCCTCTTCAGTATTGAAAGTGCTGAAGGAATTTGAGAAATTCTGCATAATATTTCATAACCTGAAGTTTTATCTAGAACATAGGCTGCTACATAGCTCAAGCGGTTAGTCGCTGGCTTCCCACTGCAGCGGCCCAGGTTTGATCCCAGGTCTGGTCAAGTGGGATTTGTGGTGGACAAAGTGGTGCTGGGGTGGCTTTTCTCGAGTACTTCGGTTTCCCCTGCCAATCTTCATTCCACCAAATTCTCCATCATTATAATCAACCGGGTCAGGTACAATAGGCCAATCAGTGGCCTCCGTGCTGAGTGGACCCAGCTGGACTCCACCCCCCACTAAGTGAATTAAATTAATTATCTAGAACATGTTTCATTTTCCTTGTCACCATTTTACCAATGTCCCTTGACACTTTCTCGAAATGGGTAGTTTTGTCACCAGAGTGAGCCAATCTTTTAGCGTTGCTCTTTTCTCCTGTAAGCATTTGATTCCTTCCGTCAAAGAACTGAAATTTGCTTTTATGAAGGCCAGCTGTCCTTCCAGTTCGTCGCACGAGAACTGTTCCTGAGCAGCTTCAATTGCCCTTGCATCCTCCATCTTCATTGAATCTACAATGTTTTTCATTATCTGAAAATGACTGCAGTAGTAAATTGTAGCATCAATCCATGTTCCCCACCTTGTGATGACGGGTTCTGGGGGCAGTGGAACACCAGGAGCCGTAGACTTAAACTGCATTTTATGAGCTGGAGCCGTGACGAAATCTTGATCTCACTTCCTCTGTCACTCTATGCAGTGCATGTGCTAGGCAAGTAATGTGCACCAATTTCATATAAAACAACTTTATTGACTTGTCTGCTTTTAAAATATATGGAGCCGTATACCCTCTGGCCACAGTAGAAATATCAACCTGTCAAAGAGTTTACAAATTGTGGAATGATTAACGGATTCAAGCACCTCACTCGTAAGCAGAAACACTTCACCTGGTCCATCAATTTCCAAGGTTCCAATGACGACGTTTGTCACGTAGCGAGCCTCCGTATCACAGGTCTCATCAATAGAAATGAAAATCTTCTTCCCATGCACTTTATTCCTAATCATTTCCAGGATATTGTTGTAGCACTTGGGAAGGTAGTTTTTCCTGAGGGTTGATTCATCCGGGATAGAACAACCACAATTCACTTCCAGAAAATTTTATGATTTTCATTTTTCAGAGTCCAAAATGGAATATTTGCGGACACCAGAGCATCACACAGATCTGTGAAAAAATCCGATGACTTATATCCGCCTTCAGATGAACACTATTGCAGTAACATTTGCACAGATTTCTTTTTGTTCGAAATTTGCACTGTTCGTGTATGCTTGTTGTGGCCGATATGTTCTACCGTGAAACATTTTTCTGCCTCTAATTTTGCGTCACATCTTATCGTATATAATGTTACCGTCCGTTTAAAATATATCATCTCCAAATTCAGCTACAATCTGCTTTAAATGACATGATTTAGATGGCTTTGCTTTAGGCATTGTGATAAAATGAATCACTTTAGTGCAACACAGAACTCGAATTTTCTCACTGAGAACCTTTCGTCAACTGTATCTTTGCCTGTATGGTCATGGGCGAGAAACTGAAGACAGATGGAGTTTTATTGAGCAACAATATGTCATAAAAAGTGAGCAATACTGACTAGAAATATTTGTAACTAAGCAAATTCCTTTGCACAGAACTTGGAACGGGCTACAGTGTGAGTGTCCACTGTCATACCCTGCTGCCAGCTTAAAATGTTTTATGATATGTAATGTCAGCACTTTCGGCAAAACGAACGGAAAGGATGGGACATTATTACAACTTATTATTGCATACTGTGGTAGCAGGTATTTGGGATGCAGCTGCAGGCTGCCTTTGTAGAGGCAGGAGAAAGAGAAAAGAACACTTTACTTGCATATTATTCACATTTCTGAAACCATATGAAGAAATATTCCCTAACATGGCTAAAATGACAAGAAATACCCTTAAAAGTCCAAAAATTACCCCAAAACCGAAAAAAAAAATACCTAAAACTTAAAAATGACAAAAAATGACCTATAAAAGTTACATTTCTGTAACCACCAGCTCGTCTCTGGTATTGATATATTTATGGGCATCGAATAGGATACAAGGTAAAAAAAGATGACATGTCATCAAAATCTGGGCCCTGCTCTATAGATTGCCAATTTCATTCCCCACCGATCTTTACATCGTGATGCACGGTATATACATTATAGCTCCAGTTCCTTCCGTCTGATGTCATGTCACCATAAACAACAGTTCATACAACATGACAGGCTCCTTTCGGCATGTTCATTTTAATGAATTCAGAGATTCCAGGTTCCTTATGTAGACTGTGCAGTTCATGATTGCAGTACCTATTTTGCCACTGTCCATCATGCGTGGCCCTGTAAATATTCAGAATTCCTATCATACAGGTATCCAGGGCTTATTCATTTGATTTAATTAGAGTCATGCTACTGAGCTATAAACTAGTACAGGTCTTATTAATGATGTATGAATAGTTACAAGCCTTGTGAAAGAATGACTGAGATTTTACAGTCTCCAGATGAACAGTACTAGTACAGTTGTTAGGCTTAAAGCATTATTCATTGCATAGACATGGAATGTTTGTGATTATTTTTAAAACTTATAAAAAGAACTTGGACAGAGTGATGAAAAGGTTTATAGTCTCAGTAAGGTGGTGCAGCTTTTGAGGCTGGAACAGACAGAACTATGCCTTGACAAAATGGTGATGTATATTTTGTATTCCAGTAAGTTTGGCATCAGAGCATGCAGATAAAGTGGTTCAGCATGAACTTCGGCAGCAGAAATTACTGAGAGAAAGACAAGATGCTTTCGGACAAGCTTTCCAGCAGGATGTACAAGAGTTCAAACTCTCCGGCTCATTGCCTAGTAAGTAGAGACTGAGTGCTCTAAAAGCAGCAGAGCATTTTTATGTATTCTGTGCACAAAGTGAATGAAATGAGTGAACAATGGTGAGGTCATGCTTTTCTGCTTCTTTCATCTTCAGAACATCTCAACAGATTTTAATACTAATATTTCAAAATGGTTATGAAGATGCAGCTCTTGAGGAAAATGGTTATATTTCAGGGGATAATATGGTGAACTTTCTGCTGGGTTGGAATCTGTTCAGTACAATAATATATCAGCAGCTGTGTGCAAGTCATTGGTCTAGCTTTCTTATTGTTTACATACCTGCTTTCAGGTGTGATTTCATGGCTTTGTTGTATATGTAACTTATTACATGATTTGTTTTTCTATTGCAGAGATGGAAAATATTGGTGTTGCTAGGGGTCCTGCATTAGAAGAAGTAACATTGGAACCAGCAGACCCAGAGGAACTTGATAAGTTTCTGAATGATGACAGCAGTGAACAAAAGTCTAGAAGAGACAGCTGTTTAAATATGGAGAATCCAATGAATTAACCAAGTGTCTCATGAATGCATTATTCAAAATGTTGAGACTCTAATTTTTATCATTATATAAAATTATATGCAAATTACTGTTTCACTCTTGTATTTCAGAAGTTTTTAGTAATAAATATTAGCCCCAGACTTTGTTATTCTTACCAGTTTCTGTACAGGTATGCCTTCCACTAGTTCTGTGCTATATGATCTTGCATTCACACATTTAACAAATGATTAAAATTTTATATTGTTACAAATTCACAAAAAAATTAGTCATTAGGTCTCAGCAGAATTGCAGAAGATGACAGCTGTAAGGTATATTGAAATTTTGAAGGACTTCAACTGAGGCTTGAAAGCTGAGTTTTCATGTTATACAGGGTGATTCACGACTTACTCTCCTAATGTAAGGAGCTATAGATGAAGTCATTCCCAGTCAAAAATGCCATATAAACATCCAGTTTTCAGTGGAGGAACAGATGTTTGTAATTAAAGAGTGGTTAGTATATATCATGGTAATTTCATGTTGGTATACATGTGTGTGACCTTGTCCAAACTGGCAGATGCTAAGTACATAGTGTGTCCCCATTCTTGCCATGCAGGGAAAACATATCACAGTCATCACTTCTCTGGTTGATGGATTATTTGTCCTGACTAAAAATATTGGTCATTCAGATATCGAGACCTCAACCCTCTAGATTTTTATTTGTGGAGGCACATGAAAGATCTGATGTACCAGCAAAAAGTGTTATGTTGCATTATGGATGCTGTAATTGGTATGAAAGGCAGCCCTAATGAAGTGAAGTGAGCTACACACTTGATTCACACACAGGCCAGGATGTGTACAGAGGCTGAGGGTGGTCATTTTGAACACTTGCAGTAAATTCAGCATTATTATTCATCATAATGTAGGAACATTTTTACACTTATGAGAAACTTTTCAACAGAAAATAAAGGTCCAAAAAATGGAGTAGTTGTTAAACCATTAATTTCCTTTGAGTTCACATTGTCAAGTTGTCTTGATTAACTCTTCATGTCATCCAGATTAATTTTGTTTGTGATTTTTTAAGAACATTCACCAGCTCAGAATATACAGCATTGAATGGGAAATGATGTGGAATGAAGATGTCATGGCCTAATTTCAAGCACTAACAGAGCATTTGCTTGAAGACACAGCAAAACCATGCAAAATCTGAGGCACAGTAGCGGATATCACATCTGAGATTAGAACTGGGTATGCATGTGCACCAACTTCCTCAGTATCCAGATGGTGATTACAAATGCATACTAGTTACCAGGATCACCACAGAATAAAGGAGAACCTGGTGTCATGAACGTTAATACTTTCTTGTATTAGAATGCTTGGGCCATTCTGATGAAACATATGCAATGTGCAGTGCAAGCAGTAAGCAGCATGGTGTTCAGTGTAGTGTTCTTGGTGAATTACAATGGGGTACCCAAAAGAAACCGAACTAATTTTTCTGTGGGCAGAGCTTTTGTAGTAACGTGTTTTGCCTCTATGAGCGCATAGAGCTAACATTCCTGAGTCAATAAGCCGACTACCATTGCTTCAGAAGGTAAGGACTAGTTTCGGCAGAGTTTATAGTGACAACTGTTTTGTGTGATCGTCATTTTTGCAATGGCTGATTTTCGTGAACAGCGTGCGGCAGTGAAATTCTGCTTTTTGCTCGGGAAAAGTGGAACAGAAACTCTTGAAATGTTAAAAACGGCATACAAGGACGATGCTATGGGGAAAACTCAAGTGTTTGAGTGGTCTTCCCGTTTCAAAAATGGTGAAATGTCAATTGATGACAAACCTCGTTCTGGTCGTCCTTCCACGGCCCGAACACATGAAATGTTGGAAAAATNTGCTGATGTTGCTGAGGTGAAGGAAAAAACGACGGAGGCGCTGTCAAGCATCTCAAAAGATGAATTTAGACAATGTTTTGAAAAATGGAATAAAAGACTAGACAAGTGTATTAGTGTAAGTGGAGAGTACTTTGAAGGGGATTGAAGGTTTGTGATTAAAATTTGAATAAATAAGTTTAAAAAAAATAAGTTCGGTTTCTTTTGGGTACCCCCTCGTATTAACTCAGAATTGTTTAAAGAAACCTAGAGTGATTATAAGCACTGATCTGGATGTTCATTGTCATCACAATCTGTGAAATAGGTCAAGCAGACAGGAAATGAGAACATACTGAAATGTGTTTGCTGGTCGTCTGTTTTTAACAGCCAGCCACGTAGCAGAAGTTAGTGAGTGAATGAAAGTCTGCACAAGTCATTGTAGGACCTTTTGTAACAAACTGGAATGCAAAATGTTGCAAAGCAGTGAAGACGTTGCAGTTGTTTTCAGACGAAGTGCATATGATTCACTAAACTGCTACTGCTGGACTTCTAAAAATGACATCACTAGTGTATGTGGTGCAGGATGACCCTCATGAGACAACGTTTTTTCTCAGATGAGGTATGATTTCATCTTACAGGTTATGTGAGCTCTCAGAATACTCACATATGGTCAACAGAAAATCTCCATGCAGCCCATGAGATTCCCCTTCATCCTGTCAAAATTTATGGTGTGCAGTGCCACATTGACATAAGCCATTAAGTCCTTGGATACCGTACTGATGAGAAAATTGCTGAAGCACGATTCCAACGTGACAGTGCAACGTGTAATAGAGCATGGACCACTATGCATGAGGTATCCTTGTTGTTTGGAGGCTTGAGTAATTTAGAAAGGACTGTAGCCTCCGTGCTCATTGGTTTTGTCACCACCAATTTTTTCTCTGTGGGGACTACATTAAAGATACTGCCTACTGAAATAACCCATATAACCTGGATGAGCTGAAAACCAACATATCCAACAACATTGTCAAAAATGCTGCTGGCAGTGTCTGAGTATGTTGTTGTGACTGGTTACATATGCAGCTTCCTGGTACACAACATTATGCACTGTAAACAGCTTACTTTGAATAAAGTTATAGTTTCAAAGAATTACCCCATGGCACATGTGCATACCAAAATTTCCCTATCCTCCTACTACATGATGTTATTAACATTCCTAACTATGGATTTTCATTAAAAAAATAACATTGATTGGAGCACCTTCAGCATTGCAGTTTGAAAACAGTTTGCGAACTATTATTATTATTATTATTGGAGGGGGTGGGTTTCCCCATGCACTGCAACCGGTTGTTGATCTATTGTACGTCCCCCTTTGATATTCTACCAGTCGCCATACCCTACCGGTACTGGTGCGTGCTATCAGCCCCGTTCAGCCAACAAGGTCGGCCCTCGGTACCTGATAGTTCCCCCCTCTACCAGAGGCATTGGAAACTGCTTGGGCGGGAAACGTTTTGCCTAATTTTGCTCAGAGGTCTCCTAGAGACATGAGGATCTTTTACGTGCCGTAAATCTACGACACGGGACCCACGGCTTAAAGTCCCTCATGGAGGACTTGTTCCCTGATTTTTTGCGCCCTTAAAAATTCCATGACCTCCGCCGGGTTTGAACCTGTGTACTTTGAGTCATGAGGTGGGAACGTTACCCCTAGACTACGGAGGCTGCATTTGCGAACTATACTGCAGCCTGCAAAATAATTGGTTTAAATTTAAAACTGTGCCACAATTAAAACATGAAAATGCTGAGATGACTCACCAGACTGTAGAAAACATATTAACAGTGTGGATGCAAGTTATAAGAATCCACACTGGAGTGAAGGTTTATGATTCAGCTAAATAAAGAAAAACTTTTCATGTTCAAAGTAAAAGGTCACTAGGTGAAGGCAGTTACTATTCTCAGGGTCCCCAGGAAATCTTTCATAAAAGAGGAAGTAAAGACTCAATACCCAAAGAAATTGTGTGTATTGATTACTGAAATGAAAGCAATGTCAGTACTGTGGACATCAAATGACTTAAAAAAATGAAAGGTATAGTTTACAGTTTGATTTGTTTCATTCTGGTCCATCACACTAACAAATTACAAAGACAAAAGAACTCCGTCCAGTGTGACTATTGAAGTTTTTACTACTTAAAAACTTAACACCCTTACATGTTTCGGTCCCTATAGACCATCATCAGAGGGACATCAATACTTTTTTGGAAACTACTATCACAATGGTTGTTTTGAGTGTTAAAGTACATATACATACAATATTTGTAATGCACAATATATATATATATATATATATTGTCACGTATCGCGGGGTATATCGCGACAAATAACTTCACGCCGTATTTTATGTAGCGAATTTTATTTCACATCCGCTC